TTCATAGTCATCGCCAATAATAGCTTACCTGATAATATTATATATGTTTGTTTGTTGGCACCTCAATTACCGGTAAAACACAGAAACCATCCAAACCACTACACATATCACATACTGATAACATGTATGACCATATCAGATTTGCACATTACATGTATACATATTGGCACATCTTATTGTACTCTCCCATTGACAAGTGCAAGTTTTGATCAGATCACAATGTGCACAAAATATCTACTCCTCAGAGTCCTTTGATGCGTTCTAATCTTCCTTTGAAATACCTGGTTGAAACTTAGTAGGGCCTCTTTTTTTTTGTAAACATTGATTTGCACAACAATCAAAGTCAAGAAAAGAAATTTATAAAACATTTTCAGGTATAAATATTTTATATAAAAAACATTCATGCCTTTACGAAATTCACCCTAACACATTTTTTAATGTATATATTTATTGGATAATATGTTAAAAGTCTGAATTGTGGTAATTCATTTATTTTACTCTTTGTTTTCAGGGTGCCGCTGGTTTACCAGGTCCACAAGGATTCCCAGGCCCAAGAGGAGCTCCAGTAAGTTTACACATACCAACTATTTTTTCAAGTATCGTGATTGACATTCAAAATAAAATTAATCTGTTTTATGACATGTGATAGGCACCAAAAGGTAGATCTCCTCGAAACCTTGAACACATTCATTTTCACTCAAAAATTTGTTTATATTTTTATGTAATTTTCCCTAGCACACACAATTTCCCACTGGTAAGACAATTTTATCAATTATTTTGAAGCAATAATAGGCAGGTCTATTTTGTGGTGTTTATTGACTTTTGTGGCTGGTCGTAATTTTGTGGCTGGTCGTAATTGTGAGTGATGTGGTAAAATCTTATTGTATTTTGTTTTCAGGGTCCACAAGGAAGTAATGGTGCTACTGGTCCTAAAGGAAGTCAGGTAAAATACAATTACACTGGGAATCTTTTACTTGATGGGCAAAATTGTCCACTATATTTATATTGAGAAGGGTCAATGAAACCATTTTGTGATTATGATTCATCCAAAATTTATATCTTGGAGAAATTTTTTCATTATTTATTTTCCATAAAATAGAATAAATGAACATAGGATTAAACAACTATCAGTACTGCTGTTGTCATCGTTATCTTGTTAGATAATGCAGAAGGAAATTATTCCTTGTTGAAGTAACAGCTTATATTATGTTGGCTATATGTAAATAAAAACGATTGTTAAGTTAGTATTAGGGATTAATCTATACAATTTAATAGAAAACAAAATATAAATTAGATGTTAACATCAAATTGCCAGCAGTGTCCTACAATTCAGAAATATTCAATGGTCAAACTTAACACTGAGGGATACTTTTGAACTACACTGGTGTTTCGTGTGCATATTGCAATGATTAATAGTTTGCAATATTTCATTTCCTGAAAAAAAAGTAATTGGAAATTCTCTTTTATACAGGGTAACCCAGGTGTAGCTGGAATGAAAGGAGCACAAGGTCCAACTGGTCTAACAGTAAGTATGAACATATTGAAATGCACTGAGCTTAAGACAAGTTATTAACATATGGAGCTTTTTCAAATGGACATATAAGGAAAACGTTACTATATTGAGGTTTTTTCATATGGGCATATAAGGAAATCATTAGCATATTGAGTTTTTTCATATAGACATATATGGAAATCATTAGCATATTGAGCTTTTTCATATAGACATATATGGAAATCATTAGCATATTGAGCTTTTTCATATAGACATATATGGAAATCATTAGCATATTGAGCTTTTTCATATAGACATATATGGAAATCATTAGCATATTGAGTTTTTTCAGATGGACATATAAAGAAAACATTAGCATATTCATTTTTTTCACATGAACATATAAGGAAATCAGTATCATATTGAGCTATTTCACAGGGATATATAGGAAATCATTAGCAACCTTTGGAATAAAAGCGAAAAATCTTATCACTTTTTTTCGAAAGTGTTGATTTAGACACAATTCACTGACTTTTGGGCTTTTTTTACCCGGTATGTAATATTTTGTTAAAGAAAAACTGTCTGACAAAATGCAGAAATGTGTCTTTTCAAGTGAATCATAAACATTATTGCATTGTAATACCAGAAAAAAATTTTTAGATATTAAACCAGGAACCAATATAAGGATTATAGAAACCAATGACTCAAAAATCTATTTTCATGTGTGTCAGACATTCTTTGTGCAAAAAGTAGTTTCCTGACCTTGCTTATTTACCTGGATTTTGTGAGCAACAGCATAAAATAAAGCCATATGATACAAACATCTTGTTGATTCACATAATATATTTGTTATATTCTTTTTTTAGGGTGATTCTGGTCCAAGGGGTTTGCCTGGACCTGCTGGTGAAGATGGACGACGAGTAAGTACTGTTTACTCTTCTTTATTTTATTAGCTAACTGGTTGCCATAGTTTCTAAAACTAATCTTGCTTCAAACACATTTTTGACATTTATTGAGAATTTTTCCACAGTATATCATGCAGAATAGCATAGTAGTTCTCTGAAGAATTACCGAATTATTTGTTGAGCCTTATTGCATTTATCTATCTCCAGGGTGAACGTGGAGAGCCCGGTTCACAAGGAACTCCAGGACCCCAGGGAGAAATGGTAAATACATATTTTAACTTAATTGACAATTTTAGCATTTTATTATTATCAATAGCAATGACATTACTACATATGTGATGAATTATTCATGAATACATTGGATTCAAACAAGTTAATAAAAATAAAATAAAATAAAATAGCTAGACATTGTATTTTACACATGTTGTATAATAACATGGGGCAAATACATGTATTGAAAAAGAAGTGCAAAGACAGTGACACTTTAAATTGTGAATGAGTACTGTTGATTTTGAACAACATCTTTATAACATGTATTACCCATTAATTATTTGTAAGGACATTACAGTTTTATAGAAAGTAAATGGGGAAAACAAGTATCAATGATATTGTTAAATCATTGAATAATAATTTAATAACATTCAAATCTGCTCTAGTTATGATGACAAAGCACTGAATGTACCTTGAATTACCCAATCAGGAGGCAGATGGAAATTTAAATTAACCAATCACTGAATGTTTTACATATAAAAAGCAAAGCTGTGGCACTAATAATGAATCTTTCAGAAATTAGATTGTTATATGCTCTCTATTGCAAGTACAACTAAAAAACGTTGTGTACTTTATTGGAAGTACATAGGAGCATTTATTGTATGCTGGATCTTCAAAATATGACTTTAATAGTTTGACCACACAAAGTGCTACTAAATTTTGAAAGTTTGTGTTATAGGGCAAAGTGATATGTACATTAGTCTCAACTATGTTCTTTCTTCTTTGTAGGGAGCAGCTGGTGTTCGTGGATTTCCTGGTCCATCTGGTCCGGCTGGTGCTAAGGTAAACTCTACTACATACAGAAATGAAGCTATTCAGAAAATGACATTTACTTGTAGATATTTTACGTGTAGCATAATAGTGATAATTGAATAATTGAATAATGGTACACTAGTGTAATAAGGATCTGTTATGACATGGTTTTCAATACCCATAGTTTGATCACTCGATTTAATACTAGCACAGGTTTGTTGCCCTAACCTGCAGGATAATCCAAGGGGTGAACTTGCTTGTTGAACATGTACATACATGATGCTGGCTCGCTCAGCATGTAAACATGAATTGCATACTTGTGAGTATTTGCAGGATTATATGCATTGTTCTTACTCCGTCCTCTGAATGGAATTACAAAATACTCCTTTTATAGGTAGACAACTCAGAAGTCGGTTTGTGCATTTTCCCGACTATTGGCGTTAATGCTATCAATCTTGGTGTGAAGTGTCAACATTTTGTCTTGTTTGCCCGTTTGCTTTCTGGTTTGCCTATTGTGATTTCAGTGTACTCTGATTACTGTAGTAAAAATAAAACTACAAAAGCTGAAATCTGTTTCTTACAAATGCTTTCCTGACAAACTTGTGTCAAAAGTTCTTGATGTTGTCCAATAAGATCGCTCTCCAGATGCCACACAACATTTGCCAAAAATAAGTTTCCTTCTATGTCACTACAGTGGGTCATTTAGTATCATCATGTACTTCGTCTTCATTATTACAATATCCCTGAAGCATTTGAACTTTGATTCTGTGTTAGTAATTGAGAAGTAAAATTCAGCTATTATTTCTGCAAGCAATCAGAGATGCTTTTCACTTACCGGATTAATGGCAATTCAGTATCAAATCTGGGATATGGTACATTGAATCAGGCTTATTCATTGGTAGAAAATTAGGCAATGAGTGAAGAACTCTGCTTTATGAACTGCCACGTGGCAAATTACTGAAGCCATGTTCAGCATAAATGAGTGACCAAAGTGGGCCACTTATATAGTGATGATGCATGGAAGGAGAATTGTTCGCCGGGGTTGGCAATCCTTGATGCACCATCCTGTAGTTCATCTTGTTAACTCAAAGCTGTGGTCACTCACTTATGTATTCTACCAATGCATTTCCAAGACACTCAAGAATGTTGCTTCCTGAAACTTCTTTATCACAGATTCATTGAGACGCAAATTTATTCCTGTATCTCCAGCTTTGTTGTTTTGAGAGCAATTACATCTCTCTCGAGAAAAAACAACGGCATTTTTCAGTTGAACTATATCCACTGATGATCATTCACCGTCATTGTGTACATGAATTAATTTATGACAATGACATTAGATGGAGATGCTACTAATGTCACATAACAGACATCAACAAATTACATCGCTAAATGAGTAGCAGTTACACATTTGGAGCAATGTGAAGCTACAAGATTGGCAAGCAGACCTTAACAACCGACAGTCAGACCAATCACTAGAGATCAGATTGTTTTGTTGATATGTAGTAGATAATATTTGGTGATCTTTGTAACTATTCAAAATAGCTACATGTTTGAGCCATGGCTTTTTATTGATAGCATTGTATAGAAGGAAACAGGTGGCTGACATTTTTTTTTTTACTTTATCAAAATGTGCCTTGTGTTTATGACTGAACTGCACATTTGTGATCTTTCTCTTATAATGAATCTTCATGCTGTCTCATGTAATTCTTTAATGACATTGTTACTATGGAAACAAATTCTTTTTTTTTTGTAGAATCTATTTCCTAATGTTTTTGAAAATGATCTTTTTGATATTCAAATATCTCCTTTTCAAGTAGATTGTTCTTCATTTTAATTTTTTATTTATTTTCTGTTTCTGTGCTGATTTTTTTGATCACTTCATTGCATATGAATTTACGTTACTTTGAAATTATAATTCATTTTCTTGCACTTTCTTCTTTCTCCTTAATGCATCCAATCTCTTGCATCGCCTTCTTTCTGCTCCTCATTACTCCATTCTGCAGGGAGAATCGGGTGAACCAGGTCGTCCAGGTCCAATTGGTTCCAAAGGATCCTCAGTAAGTGTCTATTTACTGTTTTCATATTTGTATTTTATTTACTCTACTCACCTGTGTTGTAGGGGAATACTGGAGATTCTGGCGAGATTGGACCACAAGGTGGCAAGGGTACTACTGTAAGTGATAACAGTAAAACAAACTTAACTTCATATGCATGTTGTTGTTTTGCATGTTTTCTCTCATTTATCTTGCCCACAACGTAGGGCAAAATGAATCATGCTATCTGTCCTGATTTGGCAATAATTGCGAAAGTGAAATATGATGCTTGTTTCTATTGATTGACTCGTTTTACTTTTATTTATTTTTATCACCCGCCGCAGAATGTTTTATGATTACATTTCTAGGAATCATAGACATATTTATAATGAAACCATTATTATTTTCAAATAGACATATAAGGAAAACATTAGCATAATGAGGTTTTTCAAATAGACATATAAGTCATCAGCATATTGAGGTTTTTCAAATAGACATACAAGAAAGCTATTAGCATATTGAGGTTTTTCAAATAGACATAATAAGATAGTTATTAGCATATGGAGCTCTTTCAAATAGAAATATAAGAAAGTTATTAGCTTACTGAGCTTTTTAGCTCCGCTGTCGACTTTGTCGAGCGGAGCTTATCATATGAGTGATTGTCCGTCGTCTGTCGTCGTCCGTATCAATGTTTTACTTTTTTGACTTCTTCTTGAAAACTACAAGCCTGAATGCTTTGATACTTGGTGTATATGTACAATGGGTAGACCTCTCTTAGGTTTGTTCATTTCATGTTGATATCTTCAATTCTCTAATTTTGGTGAATATT